AACCTAGATAGTATTCCCGATAACTCATCAGAAATCCTGCTGATCCTGTTAACTCTCAGTCGCCTGATATCGTTTTTCCTTGTTTTGCTATTTAACGTGGAATTGTGTTCTTACCATCTAGATATTAAAATTGACATTTAATATATTTGTTAATCAATATTAAAGCCATCTCTTATGAATAACGTGTGATAAGCATTATCAAGAATATATAATAAGAACTCAAATTATTTTCTTCATAAACATCACTAATCCTTAAAATCTTCTGTTAAATTAAAATTACATGTTGAGTAAGGTGTTTGTTTATTTAAGCACAAAGTTTCACAATAACTATTTGTACTGGGCCACCGCAGATACAGAGCTCCGAGTTTTAGCATTACAAGCCTTCAAGTTTGCCGTTGAGTCACCTACAAAATAGCTTCTGTTTTGTTTGTATTAACGAGAAGTTACACAATTGAGTACCTTCTCTGTATTAAGGACTGAGATCGAACTCTGGATTTAATCCTTATAGAAACTGAAGCTTGCTTCTGAGCCACCGACGGACTAACTAGGGTATGCTGGAATACAGGGTGATTCTAAAGAATATTTCGCAGTTCAGCGCGTCATATTCCACAAACTGTATGGCATAGGCAGGTGCAATTGCACGAGGTTATTAAGGCTAACATTTAAATGCCACATTCGTTACACGTTGCCACAAAGGATGTCCCCATAACCTAATGTTTAATCAATTACAGCTACTGTTCAAAATGTGTTCCTCCAGCGTCCAAAAATACATTACATCTGTGTGACAACGGACATTATAGGAACAATACTCATCTCGTCGGGTATGCTGGCCACATTGCACTTCCTGGGCGAATGTATCCTTAAAGTCTGGAATTGTAAGTCTTCCCACTGTAACCAGTGTCTTTAGGTACCCCTGAAACTAGAAATTGGCTGGTCTTAGATCTCATGAAGAAAAGTGACGTGAAGTGATTATGTCCTGAAAGTATATTCGCAATATGCGAAGTGACATCATCCTGTATGAGAAACGTAGTTTCCATCACATTTTATTACTGCAGCATGGGAATCACGTTGGTGCTGAATATTGCAAGGTACCGTGCAGCATTCACTGTGCAGGCTTGCAACTGATATGCTGATGTTTCTTAAATAAAAGTACGGCTTAATAACAAAATCAGCTATTAGACCACACCACAATGGCACCTTAGCATCATGGAGGTATATGTAGGAAATGTTGCATGTGGATTAATTTCCGACGAGATAATGCAGTTGCGAGCGTTGATACTTCCAGAAAGGGTGAAATGTACTTCACCAGTCCATAAGATATTGGCAGGCTACATGTAATCGGTTTTCAGTCTTGCCAAGAGCTGTAACTTATAATCAACACGTCGGGTTAAATCCGTCTCCTTAAACATATGCAGCTTTTAAAAAAATATTCACAAAATTGATTGAAAATCTTTAGGGACAGTTGAAGTTTGCACAAAGTTGATTGAAAATCTTTAGAGACAGTTGAAATTTGCACAAAGTTGATTGAAAATCTTTAGGGACAGTTGAATTTTGCACAAAGTTGATTGAAAATATTTAGGGACAGTTGAAATTTGCACAAAGTTGATTGAAAATCTTTAGGGACAGTTGAAGTTTGCAAATCTAGACACCGGCTGATAACGTGCTCTGCTGCACCCCCCCCGTCCTCCCCCGTGTACTTTTGCTTGCTTATTCTGCTACGACATGACTGCTCTTAGCGATAGTTTAAGTAGGTGTTAGTGGTCTGTCTGTCTGTATTTCAAGCGTAACCTGTTTCTTCAAATGTTTTATGAACTTGCGCACAGCAATCCTGGAACAAGGCCCTCTTTCGATGTTATGCACTCTACGGTATGCTTTAGGAGCTGCCTCAGCATGGGATTCTTTGGTTTAATAACATTTCACTAGTTCACCTCTCTGAACACTTTGTCTTTCTGCACTACGATTGGCCCGGCATGGCCAGGTGGATAAGGCGCTCAACTCACAATCTGAGGGTCGCGGGTTCGAATCCGCATCCCACCAAACATGCTCGCCCTTTTAGCCGTGGGGGCGTTATAATGTGACGGTCAATCCCACTATTCGTTGGTAAAAGAGTAGCCCAAGAGTTGGCGGTGGGTGCTGATGACTAGCTGCCTTCCCTCTAGTCTTACACTGCTAAATTAGGGACGGCTAGCGCAGATAGCCCTCGTGTAGCTTTGCGCGAAATTCCAAAACAAACAAAAACAAACAAGCACTACGATCGACAGGCCCATCTCTACCCCTAGGAATATGCGAAAGAAACCTTAGTGGCAACATGTGACAACTGTGGCACTTGCATCCTCGTGATACTCTTAACATCCCTGCGCAATTTCATCTTCCGTGTGTGAAACATGACGAGATGAAATGCGAAAGTTTCTTTATAACCACACTATGTTTATATTAATCGGTTTAAATCTGTCTTGGTTTCAGAGTTCACGAAGTACGGAGGCATCATAATTTGTTTAAGATAGAAATTTTCGAGAGAAATTCTAACATTTTAGAATATGGCGGATTGCTAGAAAAAGTATTTAAATTTATTAAACGTCGTGGGAAAATACGAAAAAAAATTAAGTCCAGTTGGTATATCAAGCTCTTAATTAACAAAATGATTCTAGTATTAGGAATAATACTTTATTAATAAAACATTATTTGACAGAAAAGAATGAACAACGCTAGATTGTTCATCATTCTTACAGTTGCATTTCGTTCTGAACGTTTTAAACGTATATATGAAGCTCAAGGAGAAGATTAACGTTTTGTCAAATTAAACAGTGGCGTAAGATAGATAAATTAAATCCAATGAAAAAATAGTAACACTACTTAATTGTCTGAACAGAAAAACTATATTTTAATGTTTAA